ACACACACACAGAGAGAGAGAGAGAGAGAGAGAGAGAGAGAGAGAGAGAGAGAGAGAGAGAGAGAGAGAGAGAGAGAGAGAGAGAGAAGAACGTCTTGTTTTTCACATGTGAAGCTATGAAACAATAGAAAGTGTGGCTGATGATATGTCGGTACAGGAGTGCCTGCACAAAGGATACACTGATACAGCAAGAGGAAATGAGTAGGACGTAGGTAATAGTTGCCACCTTTTGCCAGTCGTGCTGCCGTGCGTACAGCTCCAGCCCTTCAAGAATATTCCCGGACTGAATAAGCTGGTCCGCCTCTTCATTTGCCATGAGGTGTTCCTTGTAGAGACCCTCGACATACTGCCGAATGACATTGTAGTGCACACATGACACCCAGGCGAAGTCAAAGTGAGCAGATACCACAGGAGTATCATCCAGCCCCATCAATCCATTCTTCTGTGTGGAATTCAAGCTTTCAAGTGGAACGTTGGAGTCATGAAAGTCGAATCAGGCTAACACCTCAAGAGAATCATGTTACTCAGTCCGTTCATCCTTCTGTCAGGAAATTCAAGCATCAGGAGAATTTAGGACAGATGGAATAACCATCAAGGCATCAGTCAGCATCAAGGGCTTAGGGGGAAAGTGACCTTTCAGCATCAGAGGCTCAATTTTCAGCATACTTGCGGCGCATCCCGTGCGCGCCACTTGCGCACATGCGGCGCACTGCGCATTGCGCACGTGGCGCGCGCACCCGGTGCACCGCATGGGCAAAATTCGGGGTCAGCCAAAAAAAAAAAAAAGTTGGGGAGGGGGTGAATCGAAGTTCCCACGCCTAGCCAAAATTAGGACATTGCCCGCGCAATTTTTTTTCAGGGCCGCGCGGCCCCAAAACCTGTGTGTGTTGTCATGTTTGCTGTACACAACTCCATGCTATCTTCAGTGTATCTGAGCATTTTCAGAGGTCCAATACACTCATGATGAGGACGCGTCTGTGGAACCGTTGCTTTCGGCTCATTACTTCCAGGTATAGAAAACGACAGAACTGACCGTTATGTTTCATTGGTGCTTTCGCTAAAAAAAAAAAAAAAAAACAGAAAGAGAACGTCCGTGACAAATTGAAAGCCAACAACGTGGAAACACCCAGTAGCTATACACATGCACAAACGACAAAAAGTATGGCGATGTATCTTTCCGTGTTCTAGTGAAAGATTCATTCTAATTTTGCACAAATTGGAGAGTAGTCGAGTGAGGCCCTATTACAACTTACCTGCCGCCAGAATCCGTAGGTCCTCTCTCAACTACACAAGTCCGTTGTCGTGCCTCTGTCACATGAGGGCTGCAAGTAAGCTTCAAGTCCAGCTGTAGTCCGGTGCGATGCGAGGGCCTCGCTCCACTACTCATGCACAAAAGACAAAAATATGGCGGTGTATCTTTCCATGTTCTAGCGGAAGATTCATTCTCATTTTGCACATTTGGAGAGTGGTGGAGCGAGGCCCAAGGCTACCGTTGTATGGCCCTCGCTCCACCACTCTCCAGATGTGGAAAATGAGAATGAATCTTCCGCTAGAACATGGAAAGATACACCGCCATATTTTGGTCTTTTGTGCATGTGGAGAGCAGTGGAGCGAGGCCTTGTCAGTAAACAGGCTGTAACTGTTTCCCGAATAAGACAAAAACAAATAAGGAAAAAAAAAAGGAAAAGCAACGGGCCTATCGGGCGCCCTCTGTCGAGAATCCATAGTGTCCGTTGATACAGGCATTTTGTTTGGTCCGATAGTGTCAGGAAAATCGTGTCGTGGCACAGCAGACAAACGCCTGTATCAACGGCACACACACACACACACACACAAAAGAAAAAAGAAAAAAAAAGCACATCCGCAGATGCGCGGGCATGGGGGTCACTCGGCCACACTCCAGCGCACTGCCTGTGCGCGCTCAGTGCGCGCGGTGCGCACGTGCCCACACATCACCCGTGAGCGCATGGCGCACGGCGCAGCGCACCGCACCGCACGGCACACCGCTTAAGTGCGCCGCAAGTATGATTTTCAGACGATTTGTCATGCCATTTATAACAAAACCCGAAAGTCATTTTGACCAAACTTGTCACCAATTCATAGAGTGGACACCATATTAAGTTATTAACTATGCACCAGAAAAAGAAACTACAAATCTGCAAGGCAAAAGTGCACTTTCATAAAGTTTCATGCAAATTTTGCCAACATTCCAATTTCCGAAATGTCAACAGAGGCATTTCCAATACTCCAACAAAACTTTCAAACAAAAGACAAAAGAATTGGCACACAGCAACCTTGAAACAAAACAAAAACAGGTTAAAGAAAAAAAAAACATGAAATTTGACCCCTAAACCCTAATTTCAGTTTTCTACCCATTAATCTACGAGCTGAAAAGTAAGGGTTTCTGTTAACCACTTGTGTGCACATGAGACGTGCCTCATAAAACAAGGGGGAAGCAGTAGAAAGGAAATGAACATAGGAAGACAATAGCCCACGTTTAGTTAATAGAGTTGAACAAAGGGAGGGGAGGAAGTAGCAGAGAACCAGGTAGGGAAACATTCAACAAAGAGATTGATTAAGATAGTAATATTACCTGGGACTCTTATTCAGTAAGATATGAGTAATAACTGGGAAGCATAGGGGTAGGGATAGAATAGGCAGGAACAGAAGCAGGGGTGAGCAGTGGTTAATCCTCCTGGTAAAGGGAGCAATCAATGTCACTGTCTCTGGATTCCTCGGCCATCGCGTGAATAATCGATGTAAGGAACACTGAACCTGCTTTTTGGCTATAATGAAACTGGCTAGCTTTTTTTCTTATGTAATGACCCGCCAAAAACACAGACTGAGAACACTGCTGATTTCTGGGATTTGTCACTGGAATGGATGCCTTGCTGTGATTCCCGCATTCTACTGTGGCCCCAAGTCTGTGTGTGTGTGTGCCTGCTGGTTTGCATGCCTGTCTGAAGTGCTTGTCGGTTGTGTGTGTGCGTGCCTGGTGGTTTGCATGCCTGTCTGAGTGCTTGCCGGTTGG